AGTCATAATAATGATAAATGAATACATATAAAGTAATAGAATAAATAAATGTAAACAGGGTTCCCACAGTCATGGAAATCCTGGAAAAGTCATGGAAATTAAACATGTCATTCTCCAGGCCTGGAAAAGTCATGGAATTTTGTAGATTCAATGAAAGTTTAGGAAAAGTCATGGAATTTTTGAATCTCTTTCATGCAACTCCAGCGTTCTGTTAAGTTCTCATGAGACTATTATGATTATTTCTGAACGTCTCCGCCTTTTGTTTAAAAGAGACGAAAATAAATGCACTGACAGGATTTTGAATGTTAAAAACTATAATCCCAAACCATAAAGTGACTGGAAAGAGTAACATTTCATATTTAGCTCTAAAAGTGTGATCAATTCTACACATGTAGGTGCCGTAAAGTCATGGAAAATTCACTTTAGGCCATGAAAAAGTCATGGAAAACTTTGGAAATTTTGTCAGTGAAAAAGAGTGGGAACCCCTAGAGGGAAAAGTGGGAAGTAAAAATAAATAAAAAGTGAGTAAACTGCAGTTACTTTAATTTATATTTGGTGTGATCTTAAGTATCTAATCAAACAGTATTTACCGTATTTTCTACACTATAGGGCGCACTTAAAAGCCTTTAATTTCATCAAAAAAACAACTGCGCGCCTTATAATCCAGAGCGCCTTACATATGAATATATTGGGGAGTCTTAGTACGACTTTAGTAAACTACAAAGCCGCACCACTTGCAGCTTATGTAAACACACACGGAGCAGATAGTGACTGCGCAGTGAAAAATACTTGTAGCCACATTTATTATTCCACGTGGACGAGGAATAAAATGAAGGAATGAACTGAAAAAGTGAGTGTAATGTCTTATTTTTAGTTATAACTGAACAATTGAGTTATTGTGAATGCGCAACAATTTAACGCTCTCAGACTGTATTTTTTTTACACGTTACAATTGAACAAAGTTGAGAGTTATTGTGAACGCGTTAAATAAACGTTGACTCACTTATCTAACTTTTGTGTTTCGTTTAATGCGCCTTATAGTCCGGTTTATATGTGAAAAAAGTTCCAAAATAGACCATTCAATGACGGTGTATGCGCCTTATAATCCAGAGCGCCTTATACTGCAGAAAATACGGTAATTAAACCTACATGTACATCTACAGAGACAAGCAGAGAACACTATGAGGCAGAGTTACAGGTCAGATCTGTGGAGAGGCGACACCATTTACAGAAAGAATGCATGTTTTTCAAGATATCTTATGCTGTAAAAACACAAAAAAAAACTGCAAAAAACAAAAACGTCACTACGGAAAACTGCATAAACGACATTAAAATTAAAACATTAAATCTGAAAACGTTAATTCCAATAATGTTAATCAAACTGTCCGATTCAGCGGGACATAAAACCGTCTGATGAGCCATTTGGAAACACATCTCGGTTAATCTCCGTTAATCTCGGACATCTTGAATAATGATCAAAGCGGACGTGACCCCGGCGCTCCTCTCGCCTCGCAATCACCCCCCCCCCGGAGGTCAGGGGTCGCGTCCGTCTGCAGCGCTGTCGCCCCGTGGGATTGTGGGTAAAGCGCTCCTTTGACAGCGGCGCGGTTCACCCAGCTGTCAGCCGCCTCCTCGGGCCGGGACAGCGGCCGCTCCTGCATATTTATAAGAGCTGTTTACGAGAAGGCTGCAGCTTTACTCACAAACGCGCCGCGCAGAAGAAGCATTATATAATTACACTGAGAGTAACGTGCAATTAAAGTGATAGTGCGGAACTTTCTGGAGGTGGGAAGCGAACGGCGTGACTGGAAATAGAAAAGTTAAAGGGGCAAGTGTCGAGCTATTTTCTGATCTTTGTTATCGTTTCCTCATCACAAACAGATAAACCCTGCGTATTTAGGCGTCTCTAGTTTTTCTTAGTTCTTCTCTTAAACAGAAAACGCTCTGTTCCACTTTGTGATGTCATGTGGTAATACAGGAAGTGCTCCACTGTGTTTTTAAACTCCATAATCCTTCACTAGAATCGTTATAATTACCTCCACCAAGTAGGTTATGTTTTTGCCGGCGTTTGTCTGTTTGTCTGTTTGTTTGTTTGTTTGTTTGTTTGTTTGTCTGTTTGTTTGTTTGTTTGTTTGTCTGTTAGCAACATAACTCAAAAAGTTAAGGACCGATTTTGATGAAATTTTCAGGATTTGTTGGAAATGTGAAAAGGAAGAACTGATTTCATTTTGGGGGTGATCCGGAAGAAATCCTGGATTCTGGATCACTTTGAAATTTTAGTTAACATTGTGGTAAATGGGACCAAAAATTTAGTTTCTCAATATCTCGGTTAATTATTGACCAAACCCCATGAAATTTGACTCAGGGATGGACAATGGGATCCTCTTTCATTTTCCAAATTGAAAGATACGAGACAAATATTTATGGAAAACACAATTAATATGAGGGGGACTGTAGTCCTTGGTGGAGGTCTGCACTCTCTGAGCGCTTTTCTAGTTTGATAATTTCAGCCCTGGAATTGCCAATCTCCACTGAATAAAAAGCCAAAACGAGGGTCATTCCACCTCAGTTCACCCCAAAAAATTGCAATTTGAACCATCACATTATCCAATACATGCACCCTGAATATCGGACTTCCGGTCATCGTGTAATCCACACTGGGAAGGATCCTCCGAAAAAGTGAGCATCAAACCTCCATGTTTGTTTTCAGTGGGATGCGTCTATTGACAAAGTCGATTTTTTCAAGTCTTTTGAACCATATCGCTTTTGTTTCTGGTTCTGATATTGTCATATTTTAGTTTTGGGATTCGGACATTGTAATTGTGTGATTGTTGGAAAACGGGCTTCGGAAGTTTGCAAACTCCTTAACTGCAAAAGTGAATCAGATGTGTGTGACTCAAACCTCTGTTCAAACTGTTTCTCTTCCCAACGGAATTGAAAAATAGTGAAAGGTGAAGATGACGGGCAGGATTGATCCACAGGAAGAACCAAAAAAGAAACCTTTGACTGCCTAAGAAATCATCTCGAGTTTGCAGAGAACATTTTGTATGTGGAGCGACAACAACGTTTTTGTTGTTCATTTTAGTCCTTATGTTTTCATTCTTTAATTTGGTCTAAACTTGGTCAGTCCTTGAGGTTTATATTTAAATAAAGACCTGGTTTAATCCTTGTTTAGTCCTGGTTTAGTCCTGATGTAGACCTGGTTTAGTCCTTGTTTAGTCCTGTGGTAAACCTGGTTTAGTTCTAGTTTAGTGCCTCATATTTTCCAGCCTCTTTCTCGCTGTGAGTGAAAAGTTTGTGAATGACTTTTTTTTTTTTTAACTAAACTTTGATTCGGTTTCAAGTTTAAGCAGATTGGGCATCGATTTCAGATTCTTGTAAAACATATCTGTGAACGGCTCGATCTCAGTCGCCCGCCGGCGCAGAATATTATAAGTGGCAATTAAAACAAAAGTAAAATAAAGAATTGATCCTTTGAGATGAAACAAGTTAAAGAGACGGAGTTTAGTTGGTTCAGATCGCACACGGACCTGAAGGTCGCTGGTTCTAAACTCGTTACTGCTACTGCATTTTCACAGAGGTGGACAGAGAAACAAAAACATAAACGTTACTTCAAAATTATAATTCTGAAGTTTAAGTACGCAGAAGAAATACTCAAGAAAGAGAAAAAAAATTAAACTGTTACTCAAGAAAGAGAAACTATCTGGAAGTAGCATCTGATTTATGAAAATAAGTTTAGAGCAGTAAAGTTGCACTGTGTAACTTTTCTTTTATTGTGGAGGGTCCGTCAGATGATTTTCTCCATGACGATGTTTTTTCTTTGGAATATTTCACAAGTTACAGGTCAGATCTGTGGAGAGGCGACCCCGCTCACAGTCAGAATGTTGTTTTTCTGGGTGTTTTTGAGCTTTAAACCCACCTGTAATTTAATAAAAAAATTAAAATAAAATCAAAGGTAGAGCTGTTTAAACTCATATAATCGAGTTGAAACGATTTAAAGTTTATTTTGGATATTTTTTATATAAATAAGTATATTTATTTAGTTTTTTTTTAAATATACAGATTGTAGAACAGCTGGATGTATAGTTTACATTAATAGATACATTTATGTTTTTTTTTTTTGTTTTTTGCCGTATTTCATGTTCAAAGTGCATTTTATTCATTTTTTATATATTGCAAAACTGTCCTAAGATTCATATTTGAAGCTTATATTTATTTTCAATTTGAAAGTTTTGCATAAATTATCAATAACAAGTGCAAAGTGTTTTTTTTTTGAAAGAGAGAAATGCTGAATAAATGCATCGTGTAACTAAAAAAAATTAAATAAAATCCTTTGAATAATCGTAAATTCAATATTGATCAAAATAATCGTGATAATGATTTTTTTTCCATAATCGAGCAGCTCAACTGTGGAACATTCTGGCAGAGCAATAATCAAAAAGTTACATAGTGAATCTTTAAGGACAAAACATGAAATAATCCAGAACTTGTGGCATCCCAAAAGACAGATGGATTTTAAAACAAAATCGCACTGCAAAAACAAAATCTAGCCAAGTTAAGACGACTTTAAGTAAGAAAGTTTTATCATGATTTGAGTAAATTTCACTTGAAAAGTAAAATTATCTGAAAGTGGAAGACTTTTTGTACTTAAAATATGACAATACATCTGGCTACACTTAAAAAAAGAAAAAAAATACTTTTGGCATTTTTATTTTGCAAAATAAGAAACAAAATCGAATGTTGGACACTTATCCCATTGTTAGATCATTTGACTTGTCAAGTTTAATCGACTCAAATTAAGTAAAATGTTCTTAATTTAAGTCATTTTAACCAATATCTCTGAAGAAGCGGTGCAAGAAACACAAAATAAACTCAAATGTGATGTGTGGAGGTCTGAGGAGCCATATGCACAGATCTACAGCCACGTTTCCTCCAGAGCGCCCCGGGGCAGCTGAGCGCAGTACTTGTTTTAAATGAATCTTTTTGTGTGTGTGTTTCAGATCGGGACGTGGGATCCCTCCAGTGGACTCAACATGACGGAAAACCAGAAGGGAAAAAACACCAACGTGTCCGACTCCCTGTCCAACCGCTCCCTCGTCGTGTCCACCATCTTGGTAAGGACGCTCTTATTTACATACTAGAACTCAACAGAAAACTTTAATATCTAGTGCACAGAGAGGATCATAAGTCGCTCCGGACTATAAGTCACACCAGCTAAAAAATGTGTGATGTAGAAAATAAAACATATATAAGTCACACTTTTTGGGGGAAATTAATTGTATAAAATCAGAGCAGGAAGCGACATTTCCTGTGTAAAGTCAAGTTCTAGTAAAAACAATAGAAGAGAAAACAACAGACTGTTAACGTCACATATGAACAGTTCTTCAGATAAACTATAACATAAACAACAGAACAGAACAAGTTTAACAAACTCTCCATCTCACTCCAAATCACTAAAACCATTCAATTCTTCATCCTCGGTGTCACTTCTGAGCAACTCCACGACCTCCGGAGGTAAACAGAGCGACGCTTCCTCTTCTGTGTCGCTGTCGTCAGACTCAGCATCAGTTCCAGTTAGAATTATTCTGGTCTTTCTGAATCCCGACAGGATGGTTTCAGTGTCACTGAAGTTCAGGCTTTGTCCATCCATCCAGTGACTTCAGGAAAGTTTCATGTCGCACTCCCGCAGTATCACAATTTTCTCGCTCACTCCAGACTTTCTTTCTGCTCCTCGATTATCGTTTTCAGCTGCTGATTTCACGACTTGCAGCTTGTGATCTGCAAAATATGATTTTCTTTTTGGGGGCATTTGTGTTCAGTCTCAGTCGTCTTTATAAGTTTGTTTAAATAAAAACAAAAGTAATGTTGCGATCGACTGACATGACACAGACAGGACAGAGGCTCTTTCTGCAGGAGACATGCGCAGTAGAGCCAAGTGACAGTGGTACAGGAGGAACAGGAGCAGCAGATACTCACACACAAGACTAGAGCGCCCCCTCTTGGCTGTCAATGTGAAAATTTTAATATTTAAGTTGCAGAAAACACCCAAACCATGAAAAAAAGTGCGACTTATAGCCCGAAAAATACAGTATTTTGTAATGAAAGTAACAATAGTTGACAGTTGCATGTGCTTAATATACTTGGACGTTTTGGTTGAGGAAGCACTGATCCGATACTGGTACTGGATATAATACTGAAATTTTTGTTGTATCGGACATCGGCTTCCAAATATCGGTTCAGTCGATATCTTGGTTGGACATATACAGACTATTTTCTGGTCATAATCGGTCCAGAAAGGCTTAGAAATTTTGAACTTTATTAATACAAAGTTGTTCATAAGTTACGTGAGAGATGAATAACAGCTACACAACGTTTGGATCAGCTTTGTCTTATTTTACTTGTGTTTTAAAGGAAATACATGCTGTTTTCAGTCTCACACTATTGGGTTTTGGCAGCCATAATATCGAAATTGGTATCGGAACTAAAAAAAAAAAAAAAAAAAAAGAAGCTGGATCCCTGGTTTTGGTCATAGATTTTCTGCAGCCTTGTGTTATTATTTTTGATCCATCCTCTGCAAATCTCAGGTCTGGAGAAAATTGATCCATGTTTGCTTGTAACTCGCAGTAACTCAACTCGACGCAACTGTTACAAGACGTTCAGTATCAGCAGACAGTAAATAGACTTTTACTGCACTGACTCTCGCTCTCGCCGCTCCACTCGCTGACGGTTCGCGGCCTTCCTCCGGCGTGTGCGCCTGGTCCACTGCAGTTTGACTCTGAAGTGTTAAAGATGGACATGGAGGGATTATTGTGCAGTGTTTTTTGAGCTTTGTATCATGTTATAACGTCGTTCGCTCACCAAAAACACGCCTGCCATTCATTCACGTGTCAGTAATTTAGTGATCTCTCCCAAACCCTGACCGAATTTTATGGTTAGATGTACGATTCTGTCCAAGGCTCCGCCCACGAGCCAACGACCCCCCCCCCCATCCTCCCACGTGACAATTCTACATAAATATACAAAAAAATATGATGAATCACAGCAGCTTGACAAACCTGATGCAGTCGTTTCATGAGCTGATTGTGTTGTGATAGAGCTCTGAAGGTGGAGCGGCTTAGCATGGAGAGCAAGAGCAAGGGAGACTCAGAGTAAGACTGTGCAACTAATGGAATTTTGATCACGATTTTGCTGTGTATGAAACGATCTGCAAACTCATATAATCAAGTTTTAAGAATTAAAAAAATAAATAAACAATATACATGATTTATTTTGTGATATTTTTTATATAAATAAGTGTATTTATATATATATTATTAAAATACAGAGATTAAGGGTGTGCAAAAATATTGAAATATCGATATATCGTATTGTTTAATGTGATGATACAGTATCGATATCGTGGGCTGCTGTATCGATATATCGCCAAGAGTATTTTGTGGCATATTTTACTAAATTATTTCTTAAATTTTTGTCCTGTTTAGTGCACGATGTAACTTTCTG